TCAATCATTCAAAATTTGATATTGTAAATACTTCATTGTGCGTGCTCAAAGTCTTTGCTGACTACAGTTAGGCATATCAGAGCACTGCCTTATATGCCACGGTAAGTGAGAAAACAAGGCTAAACGCACAACCATATAATAATGGGAAACTGGAAAATGTGTCAAAAGTCACTTTTTATCTTGGATAAATGTTTTTTAATCAGTGAACACTTGACAGTCTGAGTACCTAAAGTTCCACTGACCATAAGATAATAACTGCAAACAGCTAATGTAGAAAAATTAATGTGAAAAGTCTTCTCAAAGGCCTCTGGAAACACCATCATCACCTTCTGTGCCCTCAGCCCATTCTCTGCCTCAGCTTCCGCTCCCTCACTTCTTCTTATCACTCCTCTTCCCTCAATCCTCTCTTTCCTCTTCTTCTCTCCCTTGCCCTGGCACTGATCCAGTGTGTGCCCACATATTACATTTGCAGCACGCCATCCTTCACCCCGAGTGGCAGAGAAACCCAAGTTCTCCATTCACTCGCAGTATTTACACAAACAAAGTCCTACTCCGTTTCTGTGACAAACCCAGCTAAATCTTTATGGCTCTTTCATGTATTGTCTGCTCACGGTTCCCTTTTGTCCCCCGGCCATTGGCCTGGGCCCTGGATACAATGAGCCTGGGGGAATGGAGGCAGATTGAAGGAATGCGCCTCAATAAACCTAATTATGACATGATGACTGCGCTCACCATGGTAGGGGTTTTTCAAAGATCCTGGGCTTATTCAATTAGCCCTTTCCAGGATCCCCTTTCACCAAATAAAGTTATCCCTTTGACTGTTTGCATTGCAGAGTGGAATGTGTGTGTATGTGTATGTGTGCGCACACATGGCTGGCCTAAATGGAAATGTATCGGCCCTCAACAAGGCTCCTCTGTATTATCTGGCTAATTTCACCTAACGAAGTATGGACTCTAAAAGATACACTGTGAAAATGTGAAGCAGGGGGAGGGAGGAGGTGGGGACACCATGACTGTTTTAATCATTAACTTTGTCTCCAGGGTTAATTACTATGACGCTGGGAGTTTGGTACAGCCTGCAGGCCAGCTTTACTGCCAAATATATAAATATTTGACAGAAAATGGAGAGGGGGTGGGGATTTTTTGAATGGGATTTTTTTCAGTTTTAACTTATATTTACTTGTTGTAAAGCTTTTTGGAGAAAACGGTGGTTTAATTTATATTTACATGTCAAAAGATAATTTTAATTATTACTGATGGATATTCAATTAATTGAGCAACAGGCTGTGCACTCATTGTGTAGTGCCTTTTTGAAACTCTCACCTTTGACCATATAATTGCAAACACTAATGCTCTAAAGCCACCATTCAAAAAAGTTGCTGCTAATCACAAAAACAGCCAACAGGTAACTGAAAAACAGGGCTTACAGTTTTGGTTTGCACATTTTTTATCCAACAAGGTAAAAATGTGCTGGTGTTATCTTGGTAGTTTGGTGTTACTGTATTTCATTTGCTGATATTATAACTTGTATGGAAAAGTTACAATAAATATGTCTTGTTACAAAGCAGGCAGCTTATAAAGATAGAAGTGGTACCAACTTAACAAATGAAAAATATTTAAATTAGGCGTTGCTACTAATCAGATGTTGCTGCAATCAAATTTTAAGCATGCCATAATTAAATTGTAACAAAACATATTTATAACTTAATTAGAAACGTTATGGAACTGGACTGACTTCCCTTTGTGCGCTCCGCAGGATGGAGCCAAGATATGAAACGAGCTGTGCGCCGCAGGCTGAGAGAAACAGAGAGAAAGAGTAGGAAACAGAGGGAGAGGGGCGGTGTTGCTCTCCAGATGAAAGTGAGATGAAATAAAAGAGTCGATTTAATCTGCTTGAAGAGATTTGAGGAGCAAGTGGTGGAGAAGGCGGAGGAGCGGAGAGAGGGAGGGGTGAGTTTTCGGAGTTGTGCGCAGCGCAGGACGGGTGGCCGGGAGCCCCATTGTGAAGCTGCGCTCCGGGCCAGACCGGGGCTCTCCGGGGAGAACATTGGTCCCCATTCACTACAAACACTCTTTAATACACTCCCTCCGTCATTAAATGTGACATAGCACAATATCGACATCATTTAGAGGACATTATTAATGTTCGAGAGGGCAAGGCCGGGACTCATCAAAGAATCAATAATAGATCATGAGTTACAGGCTGGAGACGTCTCAGTAGCATTAGCGTCTTTCTTCAAGGCGGAGAGGGCCGCTTTGTTTTGTTGACCAATTACAGTCTGAATATTATGGCAAGCACAGCAATTAGGCTTCATTAAAAGCTGCTGGATCGGACAATGTTGCTATTTCCTTTTAAGCACTGAAACGACAAATGCAACAGCAAGAAAGTTATTCAAAGTATGCTGACGTCCGAAAAACCACATAAACTCCGCAAAATGTATGGACAAAGCTACATTATAGCTTTTATTGGTGACTTAAAAATGTTTATACTGACATGTCAGATTTGCACTTTCACTTACAGGGGATACACGCGTCTCAGCACATATTACATTAGACATTTTGCTACTTTGAAAATGGCATGAATCGAGGTTAAGTGTTAAGCGTATGTGTGCGCATACACGCGTGTAACAGCGTTATGGGGGTGAGCACGCATCCTTGGGCAATACGTGAGTGGATTTCAGAGGCCTCAATTATCATTCTGAATGACAGTCGGCTCCTTTAGCCGACCCCAAAAGGAAACATTTTGTAGGTGAAAACGGCCATTTTCTCTCGGTGAACGGGCCCTCTAAACCGTGCGGAGGCTCCCTGAATAATTCATCCTTCATTGCGGCCTCATAGTGTGTTTTGTCGGGCTTTTCTGTGGAGAAGCTCTCCTCTCCCCTTCTTTTTCTCTGACTGAATTATAAACAGGTTGCCTTCTTCTTTAGCGGCGGCCAAAGCTGTTTCCAAGCTGGCCTTTTGTCCGCGCGCAGCCCAAGCGTGAGCCCCAAATAGACTCTCGCGCCTTTGTCTCCCAAGTTCATCCCTGAGCGTCCCGTTGTGCGCGCGAGGCGTGTCTTTGTGAGGAGTTGGAAACCGTTGAACAAATGTTTGATCAACTCATCTGGGGGACATTTTGTCTCCTCGGACTAGACTCGTATCTCTCCTCGACGCAGAGGGACGAAAGGAGTGCTAACAGGGAAATGGTGGGTTAAACGTTGACATTTCGCTGCGTTGAGAAACAAGTGGAAAAAGATGTGATGGAAACTGGGGACCGTTTAGTCTGGTGCTTGAGGTGGACGTGATGGTTTATGAAGTGACTGGCTTAACAGTGTTAAAACAAGGAATATCTGGTAGGCATTCAGACCTATCTAAAAAATATAGTTACAGTATCGCCAGTTCTAAAATTAGGCTGAGGGTGAATTATCACAACTCACATCCAGCGTTTTTCCCCATTTCAATTTAGCTGTCACACACACTGAGCCAGACTGAAAAGCATAATTACATTTTCCAAGGTGAAAAGAAAAATGTTTAAACTGATTTTATCAAGTGAAGGGTGACAAGCACATTACCAGCACAGCTTGGTTTCTACAGAAACAGACAGACTCACCGTTGAAAGGACAGATTTTTAAAGAAAAGATGTATCCATTATGGAGGTTGTAATAATTTGGGAAGTGCCAAATTAAACGAGTAGCTAAGCATGACGAATCTAATATAATAATAAACGTACGCAAAACGTAAAGTAATGACATTCAAAATTGGCTAAGTAAGGCGCTAATGTAGCTACAGAGCACCCACTCTCAAATGACCAATTAGACTCTGTTTAGCTGAACTGCAATGAGGGAAATGAATAAAACATGTCGCTTTATTCCTTGGCCTGCAGCACATCCAGTGCCACTTTATACAGTATTCAACAAAACAAAACTGACTTGGGCCTACACTGTACATGTCTAAAAGAGGCTTTGTTAGCAAGGTTTCTTACACATTAATGGCCTATATCTTCTGATAGAATGAGACAATACTACGCAAATCACTTGATTTGGGTAAACTATTCCACCTCGTTCACATCCTCTAGAAAAGAGCTAAAACAACTTACCATCAAAAGTTGTCATTGTCATTTGAATTATGTGAGCAGCACAGCTGGTCACTTCTTACAGTGGACGCTGCTATTTCAAACACTAATAAAATTGATCTGTTGCATAAAACAATAACCAAACTATAAACAAACAGCCTCCTAAGCAACGGGCCAAGAGAAATGTGAACTATTTCCATCATTTAGCCTGTTGTAGCATTACACTTAAATATGGCGGGTGGATTTATAATCCTGTGGGTAGAGTGTCTTTGTAATTTGCTAATCCACAAGAGCAGCATTTTAAAATATGTGCATCCTAATATGCAGACTTACTGTAACATGGCTATTCATCCACACTGCTTTTAAACCACTGCTGGACACACACCAACTGCACAGTCTCCCTTCCCGCACAGAGCCATCACCTGCTGTTTGATTTACGGCACGGCCTCATGGGAAAAGCATTAGCCGGAGAGATATGGTCGATAAAGAATTCCTAACAAAGGACGACACGCACTCCCCACCCCCATCCAACAACTTTACGGCATGCTAAAACTTCACATGGAGGCTAGTTATACGAGTAAATAAAACCATTCTCTTTTACACTCTGCCCAAAAGCAATCAACAGGTTGGAGGTGTGGAGGCGGAATACTGCTCTATAATTGAATTCACTGGACATTATCCCAGTTAAGGAATATAGGTGAGTAAATAGCCTGTTAAGCTTTCACAATACTAATATTTCCTAAAACGCAGCTTAAATTGAAAGTTGAGCAGTTGCATATTAAATAAAAAAAAAAAAAAACTTCCCTTATGGACTCACTGAGATGATATCTGTTCAAACAGGATTTCACTGGGCTCTAATGTGTGTGGGGTCAGTGATATGGAAAAAAGATAACCCCAGCCTAAAGTTAAGTGCCAACAATTTTCATCAGCATCAGCCACAATAACTCACATCTGTCTCCTAAGATGCCTTCAATGCTGTGTTTGGCCCTCCGGTCGTTTTCCTCCAACTCCTTCTTCTCGATTTCCTCTTCATCGTCCTCATCATCGCCTTTTCCCCCGAACTTACTCCGCATGGTGCGACTGATGGAGCTCACTGCGAAAGTTCGTTCAGAAGTGGAAATTACAAAAAGATAAAGTAATATAGGCTATATACATGTATATAAAGAAAACAATCTTACCCACAAAGTAGGCTATTCATTTGCTCTACATTACCATTTGTTTAAAATACAAAAGCTTTAGAAAATGATCAAGATGATGTAAAAATGAAAACACTGAATGAAAGAGTAAGTTTGTCAGATTTTCTAAAGGGGGAAAGTTTTTATTTTTTTTTTAAAAAACATTTTCAAGGATTTTATATAATAACTTGTTGGGGTGGATTCTAAAAAATATAGAATATGAACGATGAAGTCCACCTGGAAAAAATCTAATAAAATCTATAATAAATCTAATACTAATAATAAATCTAATAATATTAATAATAAATAAATAAATTCATTTCTTCCCTTTTTTACCTGAAGGAACGTTGTTGCGGTCACATATCCCATCCTTCAGTAATTTATCCCGAATCTCCCAGCTAAACATACCGGGGTTTTCCCGCTTGTATTCTTCTATTCTCTTCTCTACGTCCGGCGTTGTTCCCTGCTTCAAAGGTCAGAAAAGTCGCAGTGTTTATTCACATTGTTGTGGCCCTTGGGGCACAATACATACATTGCCTTTATATGCTTTAGCTTAAAAATCAGCAAGTTCATCTTTTTTGTTGAAAAGTTAAGCATTTACTGCATGAATTAATTTCAAAAGGTTTAGCCTATATATTCTATAATTTTGCAAATTACAAGTACTGGCACAGGAGCGTCTGATCTGCTTCCCCCTGGTTCATACCTTGGGTTTGCTGCCACCGATGGCCCCGGGTCTGATGGAGCCCGTCTCCTGGTACCGGCACAGGATTTTGGACACGCAGCCGTGGGAGACCCGGAGCTGTCGGGAGATGACACACGGCCGAATGCCGTGGTGGGCCATCTCCACGATTTTATGTCGGATATGATTGGGCAAAGGTCTGCCGTTTATGAAAACCCCTCCGAGCTGGTTCACTCGGCCTTGACCCAACGGGGTAGAAACTACATTGAATCAAAATATGAGAGGAACTTATTACCAAAGTGGCTACATAACACAACGAGTACAGTTTTAACTGATCCCAAATAGGCTACAACAGAATAGGCCTACACCAATAACAAGATATTATAGAATGACGCAGCACTTTTATTAAACGCAATAACTTATAGGCCTAGTTAGAAAATTAGCCCATTGAAATATTGTAAGTAGGCTACTTGTGAAAATACAAAATCATAATGTTAATAACCTAGGCTAATTATTTCACATAGGCTACAAGCAAGTTTGCTAAAATCTGCTAAAATTATTACCACAACTTGTGAGGAATACAAACAGTAAAATAAGCTTTCAAAGTAGCAATAAAAATAATTCATTCGCCTGCATCACGAAATATGTCAGTTCAGCTAGCACCCAAGTAAGATGTAATTCTTTAAGACGTTTGGGTCATATAGCCTAACTGTAGGCTACAAAGTTTGTGTTTCTAAGCCGAGGTATGGGACAAGACTCAATGACAGATCTGTGGCTACTTAAAAGCAACAGTGACTTCTTGCACTGAACCCCAAATATCTTCAGTCAACATCCAGGGCTGGAACCTTCCTTTTGGCAATGTGATGCTTTACCTTCCAGCGGGAAGCCACTGCGGGGGTAGTTCTGGGCCAGCGTGGGTCGCATCATCCTGGGTATTGACCCCGCCAACGCAGTCATACCTCCACCACCCCAGTGACTACAGAAACCTCCTCCTAACGGGGAGGCTGCTGCTCCAATACCGAGGCTGCAGCAGGAAAACGTCGTTGAAATCGCCCTTTCGCCAGTGAGGAAGCTTTCCTGGAAGGTTAGCCTCGGTTATGGTTAGCCGCAACCGGGCTACAGCCAAGCACCAGTGTCCCGGGACAGCCACAACCCTCTGAGGAGTCAAATGTGACGAGAAAAAAGTAGAAAATTGTATTTTTGGATGCTATTAAAAGTTCGTTTCTTATTCTCCTCGGTTTTATTCGACAGTATTCAGGCTATTGGCAGTGTGGTTGCCAAGGCGGTGTAGCTAGGACGAAAATATTGTTGTTGTTTGTTGACACCGGTTCAAAGTGAGAGGAGACAGTCAAACGTAGCGGAGCTCTTCTGTCTCCCCGTCAGCGCTCCCGGCTGTGATTGGACGAAAGGGTACACCCGGTGCGCAGCGGGGCGCGAGGATTGGCTGAGGCTGAAAACTTTCGTCCTATCAGAGTCTCTGTCACAGCTCTGCGTGGACAGGACAGGGGCGTCAATTCATAAAACCCAAAGCTACGGCAGTCACTGAATGTAGGCCAGTCTTTAACCACCAAAAAGTCCCCAAATCTACACTTGCTGATTGAACTCTAAGGAAGAAAAGCATCAAATGAAGACTGAAGAAGTAGAATTATTTGGTTAATGTGGTAAATTATTAGTAGTTCCAAACTATTTTGCACAGCCGCACACTTGGTCTTGATGTGAGCTTTTTCCAGTAGCCCATATCATTGTCGCTAATTCATATTTCCCCTTTATTCTGAGCTTTAAAAAATAACAAAATTATCGAATTAATACTTTGGCATAGGCCTGTCCGACTAACAGAAACCCAACACTGTCATGTAGCCTAATGCAACAAACAAAAAACATATAGCCTAACTATAACTTTTGCTTGTTAGGATACATATTGCGTCTTTATAGGCCTATGAGGTGGACAAAATAGGAAAAACACCTTCAGTCAGATACAGGACCAGCACAAAGCACAGTCTCAAAATAATGAGAAGTGAAGAAAAGTGTCTCAAGATTCTCAGTCCCGACAAAAGTAAACATTTAGAGTAAGTAACATAATTATTATTGGTGGGTTGATTTTAAATTAGTTTAGGATTATTTTGTGGCATTATATTTTACTTGATTGACAACAACCGCACTGAGCCAACTAGCCTATAGATCCATGATTTGACACCAAACTTTCTAGCCACCTTTTCCAAATTCAGTGAGGACTGAAAGCTCTTCATATGTAGTCTTACATGTAGCCTAGGCTATATACACACACAGCGCAACATGACTTTTTTCGGCCATGTTTTCTGCTGAATTTATGCTTCATCTCAGCTCTCACATGTAGCCCTAATTATAAAACCAAGACCGAACCTTCTGGCCTTATCCAACAATAGGCTGCAGTAGCCTAATGAGGCACTTGTGAGTTTTGCATTTGCAGATCTTTACGTATAATTGATAAGACCAAACAAGACACATCACTGAGATTCCTCTATTCCTAATTGTGCCACCTGTCCGTAATATTCCTCTGCAAACTGTTTAACGCATGCTATCACACATGACCCCTAATTTGTTTCCACCCCATGGCCTCACATATGACACAAGTGTGTGCACCTCAAGGAATTTATTGTGGTTTTCAGACTGAGCACCAGTCAGCCGAGAACAGTCTGAAGGGGGACGTGCGCCACAGCAGGATACGACGCCAGGGCGGCCGTAAAGCCAGTCTAGCTCTGTGCCACTAAGAGAAGTGGGTGTATTTTCACCCTCAAATGTCTAATAATCAATATTGTCACCTCCCAAAAAAGGAGGTGTTTCTTTGAAAGTCCAGCTATGGACCCTCTCTCTTGTAGGCCCTGAGTGTCGTGAGCCACAGCAGTCCCTAATCAATCACTGAAGCAAAGGTTCCGCTCCTGAGATCTGAAATCAGACAAAAGCTCGTTTTATTTCACTGTCCATCATCCGAAGAAAGGCACCTCCGTCCTCGCTATTTTAGCATCAAAGTTGATCCTTTGCACCGACGCACGAGAAGATGAAACGTTTGAAAAGACTTGGACTAATTCAAATTTGACTCATTTAATTTAATTCTTGTTTTCGGACACATGGCAAAACAGCAGCATGGGTCATGTAGCCTATCTATAGGCAATGAAGCTACAATATCCAAGACAATAAAGCAAAATTGATAAACATGATCAAATATGAGACCTAGGCCTACAATAGACACGGCTTTTCCAAAGCGTGTATATGTGACGCATGAGATGCGATCGGGTTGGCGTGGAAGAATATTCCGTGGATGAGAGTGCAGGAAATAGACTATGTTTTCTGCCTCTGGTCAACGCTGGGAAAGCTCTGAAACCTTCGTGTGACTCATGCAAAACTAAAGCCGAAAAGCGCCCCCAGCACCTGATCAGCCCTTTCATGTCTCAACCCACTCACCTATGAGCTACGGAGCAATAACTGAGGCCCGACGGGGGGGTGCCCACCGGAGTCCCTGTCATTCACCTTAATTTACGCAGGGAAGAGATATCCCACTGGCTAAGTAGGTTTCAATTAACATTAACACTTTTGATGACTTTGGAAAAAGCGCCCTTCAAGTGTTGACTTTGCTTTCAAAAACGCGAGTGGACAATGGGTGGATGCTGGGTTTAAAATAAGCAGGGCTAACGGGGGTCTTTCACCTGCTAAGGAGGATGTCATTATCTTCAGGCAGAAGATTATTATCATGCCCAAATGAATGAATCCTGTTAGTTGACATAACATCGCTATAAAGAGAGGGGAAATGTGAGTTTGTTTTTGACTGATTTTACATTTGTAATAAACCAGACACACATTATTATGGGCTTTTGCATGCAGGCTTTAGGCACATATAAATGAATAGGCCACTGTTAACACGTGGGCCTCATAAATGTTTTCAAAACAGAATACATTTAAGGATGAACTATTACTGTATAAGCAGTTAGTTACAGTTAAAATTTGTTTGTGTTTCTCGTATCTGTACTGACTTATTCCTGAAGGAAGAAGCCATCAGTCTTTACGCTGATGAACGTGACGATTTGGGAGTGTCAGTGATCTTTTTGAAATTGGATATTTCAGCCAAGAAGGGGAAAAAACAGAGGGGGCAAATGGAAAACAGGGAAAGCCATGATGCATACCTTCTTAAAAAGCGACATTGAATCTCCGTGTCCAATCCATTACCGGGGGATGAAATTCAAAGTCAGAAATCTCCTTGATGAGAAATAAATCAGTTGCATCACATGCTCTGCGTGGACACAATGTGTTTGTCAAGTCGTCAATTAGTTTATATTTCACCAGATCACGGATACAACAATTCATACAACGATAGAGAGGCTAATAAAATTTTACTATGTTAATAAGGAATAATTAAGTGTATAATAATTTATATTATGACTTACAGTGAATCTACTGCGTTGGCTGCGTTATTGTAGCACATCCTTTAATTAACTTTAATATTATCTAATATTATAAAATGTTATTGTCCTTGATATTTTTATCTGCAATGGTAAAATCTATCTACATTCTCCTAAGATAATATAGTTTATATTCAGGTATGGCAGAACAGTGAGATAAAAGTAGAAATCACATCACAATTCTGCAAATTAACATTTTACTTATAGGCTAAAAGTAGGCTGTTGTAGTCTACACTGGAAATAGGAGTGAATTATAATCTACTTTAAGTAGGATATCAAAACTGATACAAGTCATTTAAAATGACCCCATTCAAAGAGTTAGCTTTATATTATTGGAATATTATTAGGCTACAGATTCAAACTTAGGTAAAGCTTATTGTAACAACTTTATAGGCTACACTGCTGGACGTTTTAATCTGATATTTCATCATTTCTGATCATATGTTTTATGTAAAATCTTGATCAGAAAAGTAGCAGCCTATAGCTGGGAAATAAACAGTGTAAAAAAGAGAGTAAAAAGTAGCCTATTAATGTAGTTGAGTGAAAGTATAAAGTTGCATATAACAGCATTAGTCTATAGTAAAGTAGTAAAGGCCTACCTCAAAATTATAGGCTACTTAAGAAACTTATAGTCTGGTTTATTAGGCTACTTCCATATTTTAAAGGTTAATTTTGTTTTAATTTTTAAAACACTCAACTTTGCTTTACTGTCTCTTGGCAAACTTTGAATGTTTGAAAGTTTTGTTGAGTGTTTCATACCAGGCCTTTCTGTACTAGTTTGAGTGATTTACTCAAAACGGAATAAGCATGTATATGTATTAATGTAGAGATAATGTTTTATTTAGCATCAGCCTACATGTGGGAGACATAAGCAGGAAAAAACATAAATTATTAACATTATTAATTATTAACTAGCCTAAAAGTGGTAAGATATGTTTATTTTTCTGTTGTTGACTGACAAAGTCACTTGAGAACAACAAGAGTGCAAGAAAGTTAAAAGGTTATACAAAGAGCAGAATGTCTGTTGAGAGGCATTAAAATTCATTAGCCCAGCATCCTTACAAAAACATGCTGTCTGATTTTATTTGTTGTCATGGCTAATTTGTAAACACAAATTTACCTCCAACTCTTTTCCGGCAGGGCCTAATCACAGTAGCTGATTGAAAAATACAGCTAGGCTCAGATCCAAAAAGCTGTAGTGTTGTGCTGCTGCACTCATCTGACCAATCAGTCAACAGAGACTTGTTTACAAGGTGCTGAGAATGTAAAAGAAATGTGGGAGGTATATTATTTAAGGCTACATACTGTGTGACAGCCTGAATTTATGGGGCGTGAAAGTTCTGCTTAATGTAAAGTCTGTACGTCCTAAATGGTAACCTGTAATTGGATGGTGACTGGTCAACATTGGTTTATATCTATTCTGTTTATGAGGGGAAAATCTTGTTGCTGAATGGCTTAATTTATATCAACTAAAAGGGAGCCTTGTATGAACAAGTAAACACGTGATATTAACGACATCCAGCCCATATTGAAAAATGTATTTACTTTTAATCAAGTTTTAGCCACCAGAAGTTTACACAACTAGACCTGCATGAGAAATGAAAGTTGACACAGAGGGTTTCTCTTTTTATAACATGTAGCAACATTTGTCTTCCAGTAGGGGGCATATTTGATGCACAGCAGCAAGGGCCATATCTTCAGTCAAGCATTGTGGGTACCATCATAAAATACTGATTGGTAACAGGCTATTCTGTCAGCTGTCACTGTATTAAGACAAATAATTAGTGCCATGGTTAGTCATGTTTCCTTTATTATGACTGAAATGTGTTTATGTATGTAAAACAGCACATAAAGAACATCTCTCTGTGCAAATACATTTGGTACTTTAACAACAACCACAGATTCTCATAAAAACCAACAACATTTTCAAGGTCCTTTGAAATAAATACAATATGCTTACATTTGTCAAAGGTAGACCCTGATACTTGTGTCAAATAAGAGGGTGAAAGTGCATCATCAGTAAGTTGGGAAAAAAGTTGAGCAGGATGATTGAAGCAAGCATGGGAATCAGATAGAGGAGGGTGGGGTTCAAGAATCATGTTGGATTATTTTTTGCTTTTGTGAGGTAGGGGTACCATGAGTGCGCAAGGGTAATAAGTGCTTACATTAAATCACTTTGGTATCCGAATCATCTCCGAATTCTATACTAAATGCTGACAGGAAAGTCAGGGAGCCTGAACATAACACAGGAGTGCAATACACATGCTTCATGGAGCATCACACGTTTGTCCAAATTAGGGTCTTACACTGCACCACAGATAACTTTTTGCTATATTCAAGAATAATAAATAAATAATTGTATAGTTTGTAGCAACAGTTACATACACAGAATTTACCAACGGTTCACAGTAATATTCATAAGAAGAAGTTCGCTTTTTTGATTACACTGTGTGGTCTGAAGCTGATTTCACTGAAGTTCATTCAGTGTTTCTGTTTTGAAACAGATGTTTCTGAGAGGGGGAAACCCATATCAACCGAATTATATTAAGTTTTAGTTTAGCAAAGTTAAAGATTTGCATTGTGTAAGTGCAGGCACTGAAATAACACACGCTTTCTCGGCCCATACTGTAGCATTTTGTTTCTTTCTGATCTCAGCCACACAGCTCATGGGGCTCTTTAAGTTTTCAGAGGTAATGATGACTCCTAACAATCTCAGAGGAACCAGAGTGACACCACATAGTCTTTTTATAAGATGTGCACCATGTCTAGCCTGGCCAAGAAACAGAGATTCTCACATGTGGCTTTGAAGGAAGAAGACGAGTGAACTTGAACATGGAAGCAGCGGCAGGCAAACTTCAGCCTGGATTGTACCTGTTTAATTCATACTCATAGTATCTATTCTGACCTTTATTCAAAGCCAGATGCAAAGACCCACATTTTTCACAATTATAAAAAGTTGCTGATTTGGGAGGCAGCTCCGTGTTGTAAACCCTGTTTTCAACTTTCGATGTGTGAATAATGTGACAGAAAGAGGAAATCCCTGCCGACACCCCAGCTGGACGCTGTCTGTGGCAGGAGGCCCATGCATGATTTAATCATGATTACGGTGACGTTTTGCTTCATTCAGCAACAAGGTGAGGCACACGAGTCAGGAAAGACAATGTCCCTTCTGTTTAAAAAAACAGTAAAAACAGAAAGTCTTGCCCTTTCAAGAGCTTAACATGCACAAAAGTAGCCAAACACAGAGTCAAAATCACAAACTATAGCTTTGAACCCCTTTGAAAAACCTGTAGGAGGTGCACTTTTCATTGTGAGAAAGAAAGCGGCGCCATCCTGTAGGATAAATTAGAACACAAGGATGAGGAAGGTCTTCAAGAAAGGCTGATCACACCTATCCTATACCACTCACCACTTCTCTGTGGACTATTTACAGTTTGGATTGTAAATACGACTTCTTTGTAACGGAATGACATTTTAGAGGCTTCTCGCACAAACGTCCAGGCCTCCATAAAAAACAAAATCCACCGGCTGAATACTCAAAAGTGAACATTGCCAAATATCTGTACAATACAATAGTGCTTTGTTGAGATATAAGAGTGAATCATCTGTGGACTGTTATCATACAGTGAGTGGCATAGTGGGTTATGCATATTATCAACCAGGATAGAGAGGGGAGGGGATCAAACCCTGGAAATAAGCACTTCACATTCAGTCATCAAACCAACCACAGCTCAGACCATCACCAGGGGTCTAAAAGTCTTGGACAAGTTCACTCATCACGATGCCTAGTCAACTGGGCCTACTGTAAGTTCAAGTGCATAACTTGAGGAAAAGATTATCAAGGATCATGTCGCCTATTGCTCCAAACAATATGAAGGCCTTTGGGTGCTTGCTGTACTGATAAAAGGCCATTTTGGATGAGAATGATTTCTAGAAAAAGTAAAGGGACCCGGAGTATCAGTTGTCAGTATTATGTACATAACCACACACCCACAGTACAACATCTTCATCACTAGTCAGAGCCAGCAGCCTATCAGGCGTTTCTCCTGGAGTTACTGGTGGCGGATGCGCGGCCGGTCTCGTGGTCCGGTCTGTATTTGAGCCAGCAGATGAGCCATGTGACGACCACCGAGAACATGGCCAGGATGCTGGCTACCGACAAGCAAATGGGTCCCGCCGGCGAGGGAGGAATGCTGTGACTGTGCACAAAGATCAGGCCCATGAACAGCAACACCAGCATGGACAGAAAGGAGAAGATCACGCAGACGCAGCCGGTGGTCAGCGCCACTCGCTTGCAGCTCTGACAGCTATCGTAGCGCACCGAGTCCTGGGAGAGGGTGGTGGCTGTGGACACGGTAGTGGACGGGGTCGCCTGGCTGACGCTGGTCGTCCCCGACGCCTCCTCCCGGCGGAGGGCGACAAGAGCTGGGTGCAGCGGGGGAGGGTACGGCGGCAAAGCGTCCTGAGGCAGGGGGTCCGAGTCGATGTAGAGTGGAAAATCCTCCGTCACCTTGGTGTTGTTGGGCAGGTTTTGTATCCGATAATCCGGCACCGGAGTCCGGTGGCGACATACGGGGCAGCTGATGCGCCATGGCCTCTCCTCCCGGAGGTGAAGCGTGTTCAGACACTCCTCGCAAAACGTGTGCAAGCACTCAAGGATCTTAGGAGCCCGGCGGTCAAGGTCGAAATAATTGTAGCAGATTTTGCATTCGAACTCCTCATAGGGAAACGCCGAGGGGGCCTCGCCGGGGGGTTCTGCTCCGTTTGGTGCCAAATCTACCTCTGCCATGTCATCTTTCGCCATTCACATTCTCCGGTGAACACAAAGGGAGCTGGCGGACAGATGCTGATGACGGTGCACGTCTCTCCTCCTCTCCCCCTCCTATCCTCCCCGTTCATTGAAACGCCATCATCCCCACAGGCATTGTTGATAGGTTTTCATAATCCCCACCGCGTCCTTTATGAAGAGCGGTGCTTCTGCTGCTCAGTCTCAAATGATCGGGATCCCGGTTAAATATTAAAAAGCCCTCATTCCGTGTTCGGCTGTGTGGGAAGAGATGATGTAATGGTGGTGACTCCGATGCTAGAGCTCATCCATCCAGAGAGTCCGAGCATCCCACAAAACAGAGAGAGAGAGGGGGCGGGGGGGGGGGGGGGGTTGTCGCCTTAAAATCTCGTTAAAGAGAGAGTGTTGTTGTTTTCAGTGCTCTGTGTGCGTAGGGAGCAGCTATGACAGCCATGCTCGGTCGCAACTCCTACGTAGGCTCGGCCATGCCAGACCATAGGATGCGCTAATTTGGTCAACTGGGGGCGTCAATTTACTGTTTCCTGTAACAGAAAGAATCTAAAGTCACACAATGTGCCAGCAAAACTTAGAATCAAACATGGGTCTGCATTGTCTTACATTACAAGATACTAAACGGAACAATGGCAGATGACTTATTCAGTCCATAGGGCCCATAAAAAGATAAGAGGTCAATTTGATTTTTAAAGAGAAGTGGCTCTAACGTTTCTGGAGATTAAATCATGTCAGATTCATTTGGAGTGTGGAGACTCCAGGCATCTCAGAATGGTGCTGTAGAAAACCACAAATATTCCATTATGTAGGTTTTTTGTAGAACCTGTTTTGTGTGTATTATGTTTAAATACTACTAGTTGTATCGCTGCTTTTAGGTTGTCCAAAAAGCATTTTCTAATCTTGTAGACCTCACCAACCAGCACATTTACTCCAAAGTGGGCATACAAACTTTCAAAAGTAGCATTAATGTTAATCACTGTTAATAAATAAACAACAAAAACATTGCAACCTTGTTTTGAGAGAGTAGAAATGGGCCATCGAAAGGGGTGAAATCATCTCAAAGATTGGGGTTTATTTATTTATATTTTTATTTAACCGGGACAATTCGCATTATATGTACTGTACCAGATATCGCTAAAGCTAATTTCCATCTGCAGTCCCTGGGCAGGTGCTAATAGTATGCAAAATATTTAAAAAATCTTTTTAAACAAATCCCAAATCCAAACCTTACATTTCATAAATATATACTGTAGATAAAGCTTCAAATAAGCTAAATATAACAAACTTAATGTATTCATGTGGTTAACTATTCCTCCAACTGATACTCACAAGATGTGGTTCTGAAGCCGATAGCTACAAATTCTTAGTGAGATTTCTCTTTATTCTATTTGATCATCATTCCATTCCAGTTGATCAGGCTACACTTAATCCATCCATCCAAATCACTCAGACCCATCTATTAAGTATAAACACATTAGTCCTGATTTGACTTTTTAATGAGGTTACAAGGCACATGATTGTTGTTACATGCTATATTGTCAGATAAATGGCATGTGGTAATTTCCCTGCTCACCTGCTTGATAAATCCATATTTGCTGACATGACAAGTGAAACGTAGATTCAGTGTTCTTTTCAGCACCTAGACAGAGAACAGCATGCGAAAGTGGGCAAATGAACAGTTTCATAACAGGAGGGAAATTAAGTTCTGAACTAAGGGGTTACACACATTGTCATAGTCGCCTTTGATACATGTTAAGCCTCACAGACCAAAAACCCACGGAACTTGACCTTAAGATAACTCGTAGATAATAGTGGTAAGAGTGCACCACTTCTCTGACTGATGACCAGGGAGCTCCAAGTAGGCCTACATAAAGTCAAGTTTATAATTTCAATGCTTCATTTTAAGATTTAACCACATTTTCTGGAAAAAATAAATTGGGGGAAAAAATTAAAGATGTTCAATAAAATGCTAAATTCTCTCTCAGCCACACACACACACACACACAGGCCTGCATGTAAATCCACAGTGTGTCCCGTTATGCAGAATATAAGATTAGTGTTTTGTGCCCAAAATTATGATCATTTACTGCAGAAAACCTCACAGAATGACCTGTGCGAATGAAAGTTGCACCCTTATTTGGCTGTGTACTGTACTGTTATCAATGTTGTTTCTCAAACAATATATACAGACTTGGACAAAAGTGTTAAAGAAAGAAAATTGAAAATTAACTGATGAAAATCAGACATTGCTTTGGAATTGTGGTTCAACAGAATTATTTTAAAAAACAATCTGGCCTAGACAAAAATTATGGTACCCCTAGAAAAGATTGGAAATAATTTGACCATAGGGACACATTAAACTAAGGTGTGTCCTGCAATTAGCATCACAGGTGTCTTTAAACTTGTAATCAGTCAGTCTGCCAATTTAAAGGGTGAAAAGTAGTCAGTGTGCTGTTTGGTGTGTACCACACTGAACATGGTCCACAGAAAGCTAAGGAGAGAGCCGTCTCAGGAGATTAGAAAGAAATGTTAGACAAGCATGTTAAAGGGAAAGTCTATAAGATCATCTCCAAGCAGCTTAATGTTCCTGTGACTACAGTTGCACATTATACAGAACTTTAAGGTTCACTGGACTGTTAGCCAACCTCCCTGGACGTCGCAGCAAGAGGAAAATTGATGACAAATGGAAGTGACAGATAATACAAATGGTAACCAAAGAGCCCAGAACAACTTCCAAAGACATTAGAGTTGAACTCCTGGGTCAAGGTACATCAGTGTCAGATCATCAGTCGCTGTTTGAGCCAAAGTGGATTTAATGAAGGACAAGGAGGAGGACACCACTGTCATAAAAAAAGCGAGACTGGAATTTGCCAAAATGCATATTGACAAGCCACAAAGCTTCTGGGAGAATGCCCTTTGGACTGATGAGACAAAACTGGAGCTGTTTGGTGAGTCATGTCAGCTCTATGTTCGCGGACGCAAAAATTAAGCATACAAAGAAAAGAACACCGTACCTGAAGCATGGAGGAGGCTCGGTCATGTTTTGGTGCTGCTTTGCTGCATCTAGCACAGGGGGTCGTGAATCTGTACAGTGTACAACGAACTCTCAAGACTATCACGGCATTCTGGGTAAAATGTGTTGCCCAGTGTCAGGAAACTTGGTCTCAGTCGCAGGTCATGGGTCCTCCAACAGGATAATGACCCAAAACACACAGCTAAAAACACCCAAGAATGGCTAAGAGCAAAACATTGGACTATTCTGAAGTGGCCTTCTATGAGCCCTGATCTAGATCCTATTGAACATCTGTGGAAGGAGCTGAAACATGCAGTCTGGAGTGCTATTACTTTTGTCAGTTTCAAGTTATTCCAGGGACCATTGTGGGTTTTTCTCGCTTTACCGGAAGGGTACCAACAATTTTGTCCATGTCTGTATGTTGAACAATGTAACTGATCCCCATATCATCCGATGGTGGTCCACTTCATACATTGCTTACAGTTCTCAGTAATCAAAGATACCTCCACACATGCCCTGCTATCATGGGTATGAATTACACCTTTCTTTCGCTTGCTATAAATACTTTGTGATAACATCTGACCCATCCCAGTGTAAAGGTAAAGGACAAACGCTCCAGACAACCGGTTCAGCCTACTTCTGGCCCCGCCCCTCTGCTTACACCTGTGCAACGCACAGCAGCCGCACCTGTTCGGAGCTCTGCGCTCTGCCCGGGCAGTTTTCACCTTCCATTACCTCTCCCGCTCAGACAGTCCACATCAGCCTGCTACTGCACTTGTATCTCTTTCACCTGGCATGCTGGAGCTCCTGGCTTACCTGCAAGACTCGGAGCTCGTGGCCCGGTTCCAGAGACTATGTGGACTCATCCCCGTCGAAGCCGCGCATGCCGGCCGAGGGAGGACGCGCACTGCGAATGGAATCCCGGTCCTCGCCCACGAAGGGAGATGGGACCGCCAGGATAAGAATTCAAACTATACACATAAGCAGAATGGACATGCTGTTGGTGTGAGTCGCTTGCTGCGCAAAATTGATCCTCTCAATATTTAAGTTCATTAACCCTGTAATTTGAATTAAACTAAAATGTTCACTGGAGTGACTATTAACCTTTGATTCCCACACAGTTTGAGATTAATTTAAAAGGAATAAATGGTCAACGTTAATGTGTTATTATTTTAAAACACTGCCATTGACTTCTGAAAACATAGGAAGTAGGTTAAACACGCAAGAGGTTTACGTGGCTAAGAGCTTACTACAACGAATTTTGACATGTAGTTAGAGATGTTTAAACATGCAAAGTAAACTGTGAATGGCTTTTCTCATTTGACTGGGATGAGATCGGGTTGGACTGGGTGTCTGTCAGCCACCAGATCCTCCTGGCTTCGGAGAGATACAGAATTAGATAACAGAGAGTCTGTGTTACAAATTGGAGGTGTGGGATTTGAAGGATGGGGTGGGTGTCTAAAGAAAGATGACATCTGTTTCATTATAAGAGATCCAGTGTTTTTGGAACTTGATGATTACTAGAGACTAAAAGTTTTAGGCCTCTGCTGCATTGATATTGTCTCTTGAGTCTCTAACTCCTTGGAGTGCTACGTTAATCAGATGAATAAAGAAATCCAATACATTTTGACTTGCTGGCTGGTATAAATCATGAAATGTAATGTAAAGAGCTGCAAAAAAGGTGAAATGTGTTTAACCAAATTGGGTGTGACTGCAAGGTTGGCTGGTTGATCTAATCTGATACCTTTCCAGGATCCATGTTTAGGCATATTTTGTGTTAATTAGTGTCTGTTCTCTGCAGGGCTGTAGCAGGCCTCAGCAGTATGAGGTGAGGAATTGGCTGTTGCACCTTCTCTTCCTGTTCTCGTCAGGCCTGGGGCACGAACTCTTTTACATCACCTGTTTGCCATGCATACACTGGAACCTGGACCCATTCCTATGCCGACGCCTGGTCAACATGTGGACAGTAAGTCACAGCTGGAAAGGAAATGTGTGTGTGTGTGTGTGTGTGTGTACACATGTCAGTCAGACCACCTCAGCGTGCACAAACGCAAAGTCTGGTGCCCATTCATTCAACAATGCCACCTCTCTTCCCTTTTCCTCTTCGTCTCCCTCTCGTCACCTTTCAACCTCCTTTCATCCTTCTCCCCCCCAGTGACCTGTCTCTGACACCACCATGTTCATACATCCCCAGGCCTGGAGGCCACTTTGGCCAGCCTGACTGGGGCCCCTGACATGGTGACACATCACACATGAGGACACATCAGTGTAAAAAGGCCGCTAGGATCTCTCCTTCAGATGTTTATTGCGAT